TGCTTGTGACCTCAGCTACAAAGAAACCTGAGGCAGGAGGACCGTAAGTTTGAGGACAGCCTGAGCAGTTTACCAGGATCCAGTCCAAAAGGTCAACGTTCTTCACAAGAGCTAAGGTGTGGATGAGCAGTGAGAGGCTGGTGGAGGGAGTGATCAAAGGACCTGCCGAGTCTGGTTTCCACACGGCCCCACTCCAGCGGGACCCTCACCCGTGCCTCTGGTAGTGCCAAAGCTTTGCAGAGACCTTTGGTGGGAACTGGCTTGCTTTATTTTAGCTCAGCACCCCACCTCCGGGCTTCTCATTCCTTAATCTAGTAAAGGCCTGCGTATCTAACTAAGGGAAATGACACCAGCTTTACTGCTGCATGCTCATTCATAATCTCGCTCTGAGTCAGAGGGAGAATCTGCATCCCTTTCTCTTTCTCTCATCTCTTCCCTCGTGTCTCTCTCTCTCTCTCTCTCTCTCTCTCTCTCTCTCTCTCTCTCTCTCTCTCTCATTGGTACTGGGATTGAACCCAGGACTTTCACATTAGCTATATCCCCAGCCCTTTTTCTGTTTGGTTTGTTTCATTTCATTTCATTTTGTTGTGTTTTGGGGGGGACAGGCTCTCACTAAGTGGCTAACTTGTTGAGTTGGACCTGCGATCTCCTACCCCAGCCCCTCAGAGCGCTGGTACTGAGGTGTGCACCACTGTGCCCGGCTCCACGTGGTGCTCTTAGAAAACCCTCGCTCTGTCACTTGTCTTTGGGGAAGGTGAGCATCTTCTCAACAAAGATGGGAAGGGAGGAAAAGGCTCTTGCCACAGATGCTGGACACAGTGACCAGGATCTCCTCGTCCCTTTCCCCTCCTCGCAAAGCCCTGGGGTTGTGGGGAAGAGTGGGGCTGGGCGAGGGACTGGCTCTCCTGTGAAAAGAGCCGCGAGGACAGGCTCCAGAGCCAGTTCTTGGCTGACTGGCAGGTCTTCTTAGGAAGCCGGACTCACTTAGCATTTCTGCCGTCGGCACTTACACTGTCGCTGACAGGAAGAAAAAGACGGGCTCAAAAGTTGCCCAGTATTCCACTGTGTGGGAATATTCAAAGGTGCCTGACCCAGTTCTGCCTTTCGTCATGCCAGAAGGAATGTCACAGGGACCTTTCTTTGGTGGTTAACCTCATTTCTTCTTGTTTGTGAAAAACTATTATTATTATGTTGTTTTTTGAGGCAGGGTCTCACTGTGTAATTCAGGCTGAAGTCAAACTCAGGGCGATTCTCTTGCTCGGCCCCCCAAGCTGAGGGACGACAGGCGGCGTCACACCCAGCAGCGGTCAGTCTCTCTGAGGGTGACATCGCCAAGCACGAAAACCTGGGTGTTACAGTTGGCATGTCTTAGTGCTTTCATGAGGATCCCGGGTTGCCCTGAGGTGTGTTCCAGTTTTACAGTCCTCCCAGCAGTGCAGGACAGGCCCTTTCTGTTTTCACCACACCGAGGCTTCTATGTGGCATTTGATCCTTTCTCCTTATCTCTGCCAGTTTGGCTAGAAGAATGGCATCCCATATTTCCTCTTTGTGCTTGTTACTGTTTCAGTTTAACATTGCCCTATTAAAAATATTGCCCTATGTACTTTAATATTTTATTATTTGTAAAATTACATTTTTATGTATCCAGATTGTCTTAGTTACCTTTTTACTCGTCACTGAGACAAAATACCTGAAGCCCAAAGTTGGAAAAGGAAAGGTTTATTTCTTACAGTTTTTGGAGGTTTCAGTCCACACTCAGTTGGCTCCAAGACAGGTGGGCATGGCGGGGCTGCAGTTCATGGTGGCTGCAGACAGCAAGCTCGAGCCAGCAAAGAGCAAGACACACCTTCTTCCTGCCATTACATCACATCCTGGCTCCACCCCTTTGTGGGTGGAGCACTGACACCATCAATCCAAGCACTAGACAATGAACCATCACAAATACACAATGCAAACTCATGAGGCCTGGGGGCCACAGACATAAACCATGACACAGATTTAATGACTTAATTCTCTGCATCTCAACATTCCCTGCTGTAAGAAATAAGATAATTATAAAATCTAAGGTGGGGACGGTGTAGGTAAATTAATAGCTACATAATAGTTATTCAACAAATGAGAACATTTGTTATTCTCTGTGTGATAATGAATAGTTTAGAATCATCTAAAAATTTTACTAGAAATACAAAAGGCAGCCGGGCACCGTGGCGCATGCCTGCAGCACTTGGGAGGCTGAGACAGAAATATCTTGCGAGTTTGAGACCAGCCTGGGCTACAAAGTGAGCTTAATTCCAGCCTGGGCTACATAGCAAGACCCTGTCTCAAAAAGACCAAAAAAAAAAAAACTTGCAGATGTTTATGCCAAGTATAAAATGCATTTAAATATAATTCAAACTTTTAAGCCTAGTATAGAACAGCAACTTTAAATTATTCTCTTTACTTCTCATCCCTAAAAGTGTTTAACAAAGTCTGGACTGGGGATGGAGCTCAGGGCTAGAGGACCCGATCATTTTCCAGGGCTGCAAAAAATAACTAAATAACACTGAGGATTCAGTCCAGTCTTCTTCAGTAGGAAAACCTGAAGTCTGAATGGAGGGTGAGGAGACCAGTGTTTTCTCACTATTTATTGTGGAATTTTTCTTATATGCATTTCTGGTAAGAATTTCTTCCACAGCATCCTTATCTATTTCTATCAATTTAGATATATCTAAAGCAAAAGACAAACGGGCGCACTAGCCACGCCTGCTTTTGCACACTGTGTGAGAACGGGGTTCCTGTTCGCCCTCCAGCTCAGTAGAATTTAATCCCCGAGCTAAGCCCAAGATGGCTTAGATGATAACAATTGTAAGTTGCATTTTATATAGCTTTTATAAAGTGCCTTTATTTTTAGGCTACTTAACACCAACAAATTTTTGTATTTTGTAACTTCTGAGTATATGTTTATAATGGTTATTAGAATTTTTATGACACTGTTATAATAAAAATACTTTTGTAATTGCATATATTTTTTCACTGCATGTGATATCACGTCTAGTCCTTTTGCAGATGACTTAGAGGATGTAGTCTGAATACAAGGTGTTGAGCCACATGTTGATAATGTGTTACACTGGAGCACATGGTAAGAAAGAACTCATCACCCAGGAGGCTAGGAGGCAATCATTTATATGCCAAATTTGTGCTGGAGACTTAACTTTCACTGTCTGAGGTATTTTTCAGAACCCCCTGTCTAGTGAGTAAACTGCCTGTGCGCCTAGCCTAGGGAGAAGGTGGCTTTCTGGAAGCCAGTGCACATGCTGGGTGCCTAGCATCTCTCTCTGTCTCCCTCCCTCTCTCCGTCCCTCTCTCCCGCTCCTCCTTTATTTTTTTCTCTTGTGCTGATTGAACCCTGTTCTCTCCTTTTTATATCCCTTAGAAAGTAGATCATTTGTATGACATTTGGGCTTGTGTGCACCCATACTGCAAGATAATTGCTCAGGGTGAATTCTCAAGGATGGTGTGTGGGCAGGCGTGTGGTTGGTGGGAACATTGACGTTCACATTGACTCCTGTGACTTCTGTAGACCTTTAAGTTTGGTTTTGGTCTCTATTATTACTCTTCAGTATCATCTAGCTATTTTAATGTGGTTGGTTTCAAATGTCTTCCAAGGCTTTGCTAAAGACAGTAGTATTTCTCTTACAAAGTGAACCACTGCAAATTTGAGATGAATGTGACAATTCCAAACCCTTCCCAATGACGATGTGCTGTTTTGTTGAGGTTTTTTTTTTTTTTTTTTTTGTCTTTTTCGTTTTTATTGGTACCGGGGATTGAACTCACGACTGCCTGCTTGCAAGGCAGGCACTTATGCCACTGAGCTAAATCCCCAGCCCACTTTGTTGAGTTTTTAAGGCATTTGCTGTAGCACAACTGAAGAATTAGTTGCTTGCATGTTAAATGCCTGCAACCTGATAATTACCTCAAAGGAAGATGGTTTTATTTAGTTAAAACTTAATCTAAAGAAAAATTTGTGGTGTTGATTTGCAGTAAGACTTTATTAAGGTGGATGTTTTAGAATTTAGTTCCGTTTCTTGCCCAACTAGTTAAGAATGAATTGCAGGGCAAAATTGAGCAGATTGGCAGGTCATTCTGTGTAAGTGTTTGTGTAGACTTGGAGTAAACTTACATTTTCACTTGAGGCTTTTTTTGAACAGGGTTTCTTACTAGTTATTCTATTTTTTTGAATGTTAATTTATCAACTTCTCTTTAAAAAGACGTGAGAGGGGGAAAGGCCACAGCATTATCACATTTCTATATGTGTGTTCCCTAAACCATATGGTGGTTTCTAATTAGAATACAAAAGATTGTGTGATGAGACCAGCTTCACGGGAGCTATGATGAGGGGTGACAGAGAGAGTTTTCTGGAATTTCCAGCGAAAGGCTGTGCCGTTTATAACTGTCCTGATACCAGAAGTCTGGTAAAGTTATTGATGTGCAGATCAAGTTGGTGTTTCAAAGCTAGTAATTTAATTCTAGGCGTTTGATCTTCTCAGTCAGCAGCTTGACTTCATTTTTCTTTTTCTTTTTCCTTTTTTTTTTTTTTTTTTTACAGTGGCTTCAATATTTAATTTCGCTGTGTTCTCTCTCAGTAGAGATTTCAAAGGATGCTCTGCTGGATGCTTGACTGCCTTGTCTATTTGCTCTTGTTTTGCATGCAGGAGAGAGCCAGAAGCTTTCTCCTCATTGTGTACACATAGTATTAATGGATTTACTCTGCCCATATCATCTCATTACCCAAAAAGGAGAGAAGCACAGAAGTCTTTCAGTGTATGCAAATAAGGCCGAATCACCTATCTGAGAGTTAATATTCTCTGCTTTTAAGTGTGTTCTAAATCTAATGTTTGTATTTAGAACATAACATCCTGTTCTCTTTTTTTATGGGCAAAAAGCTAAGCAGGCTCAGGCAGCTGTTTGATGTTGGCTTCAAGTGTTATTAATTTCATATTCTATTATTCTTTTCACTGTAGCACAAGTGAAGCTGATGTGGAGGCTGTCATGGATAAGTTGTTTGATGAGCTGGCTCAGAAACAAAATGATTGTACGTAAGTTAATTTCTCTTGAAAGAGAATACATTTAGAACACAATGCCCAATCTCCACTGACCAATTAATAAGTTCCACTGCTGTATATGGGTTGATGCCATGCTCAAGTGGCCGCCATTGTATCAGCATTTTGTCTAATTTATGTGTTGAATCATGTGCTATTATTCATCAAGCTATGCATTTCCTATCTGTAAGAGATGAATTTTATAGTAATTATCCAGACAAGATTGAGTCTTTGTTCGTGTTCCCATAGTAACTAGACCAAGGATTCTAAAAGTGCAAGGCAGAGAGCTGCGCCTGAATAAAGCCTGTGGAACGGTTGCCGACTGCACATTTGAAGAGCTGTGTGAGCGGGTAAGTGCCCGGCCCGTGCGGACCCATCGGCCTTCTCAGACGTTAAAAGACTTCATGTTTCCTTCTCTGTCTGTTTCACGTTTTAAAATAACTGTTCAGAGTCAGAACTGATTTGAAAGTCTCATTAAGGGAAATACTCATCTATATTGGCCACGCGCTTTTTATAGATATTGGCACACAATTTGCTCTTCGAAGGGCTCCAAAGCAAAATTAGAAATGCAGAGAGCACTTTCAACTGTTGCTGGAAGCAAAAATAAAATCATTCCCAACGCTAGTTTACAAAAGTCAAACAGAAGGGACTAAAAAAGTTAGAGATGAGGTTGGTATGCGGGCACAAGGAAGTCGCAAGAACATAGCAATTATCCCAGGAGGCAGGATGGAAAGACGTCCCATTCCTGAGACTCAGTGTCCAATCACTGTGCCCCAAGATCTCACCTGTCGGGTCAGGGTCAGGGTCAGAGATCGTGAATCTCTGGCACTCTAACACCTGTACTGGCTCATGAGTAGATGTTCCATGTGCACATACATACATTCACATAAGAAAAACTGGGGTTGCAGATTCATTATAGATATGAATTCTATCTTTGAAAGTTCTGGAATCTCTGTACACAGTAGACATTTAGTATATTTATTGATTAAAATTTTTTAAATTAAGTTTGTTAGGAGTTGTATTTTTTTTTTTTTTTTTTTTTAGAGAGAGAAAGAGAGAAGGTCTCTGTATAGAGTCTAGGCTGGCCTTGAACTCATTAGGTAGCCCACGCTCGCCTCTAAGCTCAAGATGATCCTCCTGCCTCAGCCTCCTGAGTGCTGGGATTATAGGCATGTGCTGCCACACATGGCTTGACTGTAATTATAGCAAGAAATCCAAATTAGATAGAACTTTATACATAATTCCTCCCTTGATGTATATGATCATCCCAGCTCTGAGTTATCTTGACTTTTAAGTAACTTCAGAGAGTTTGCAGTACAGGGGAAGAGAACATTTTATTTATACTGCATTGTGTGTACTTCTCTTAAAAGATAATTACTTCTTTCTGGCCAGAGTAAATCAGTTATTTTTAAATTAGAGACCTGAATCCAGTCTTCAGTCCTTTTATCTCCTCAGAACCCATGGGATTTAGGTTCAGTTAGGACCCTCTAACAGGGTGGTAATACCAGTGCTCTCAGTAATCCTATGCTGGTTAGCATGGCCCCTCCAGATCTCTAACAGGTCAGGAGTGCTAAGGTTATAATAATCTAATAGCTCCAGGCAAGATCTGTTATGGCTTAATTTAGGTTTCCCAGCCTTGCTGGAGAAGAATCTTGTGTTAAGTAAAAGATGAAGCTCTTCCCCCAGGGAGGACAGAGAAAGCACAGGACCCTGGCTCTTGGGGGAGGAGGCAAGGGTGCGCTCTTGGAGCAGATACTGAGTGCTCATCTGGATTTCTTCATGTTTTTATTATTTCAAGAGACTTAGTATCCAAAAAAGGCCACTTAGACTTTTTTTTTTTTTTTTTTTGAGACAGGGTCTCACTACAGAGTTCAGGCCGGCCTTGAGCTCACTTTGTAGCCCAGGCTGGTCTCAGATTTGCAATGATCCTCCTGCCTCACAGTCACCTGAGTGCTGGGATTACAGGCATGAGCCACAAAAAGGCCACTTAAGGACACAGATCATCATAGTTTTTTGAGAAATGTTAGAAATTTCATCTTAAAAATGAAAATATTTATAAAATGAATCACTTTTATGTCCTTTGACAAAAATATGGGTTCTAATAACAACTCTGAACTAAACTCTTAGAATAAACAATCAGCACATTTCCACTTTTAGCCTAACTTTCTTGTGAAAATCCTCAGATGACAAGCGGTTACAGCCGTCACTTCACGACCCGGTTATTCAGTCACACAGGAAATCATTTTTATAAAAGCACTCAAGGATTTCGTTCCTGTTCTTGATGCCTTCTTTTACTTCACGATATTCTAATTGTTTTTCATTGCAGTTTTTGCGATGCTGTTGATTTTTTCTTCTTCCAGTTGGGCAGATCCTTATTTGTCAGTGGCCTTTCATTGACAGATTGCCCTGTGTCTGTATCATAATTGTGAGGCGTTTATTGTATCAGAGGAGCCCCAAGAGATCAACAAAAAACACTGGCCCAGAAGAGAAGGTTAGTTCCTACTATTGAGCTGTGAGGGATGTTTAAGGAGAGGCTAAATTTTTAAGTGGTCAGTTCATTTGCGTCTTGTTAGCATGATTTTGCATTTCTTTGCAGTCTTATAATTGTAGCAATTCAGATATTGAATACTTGCATGAAGAGGACCCTTGAGATCATTCAGTTTCAGTGGTAGCCTGAGCCTCTTAATTAGTTATAATGATATCAGAGCAGGCTAAATAGTTGCCAAAAAGTGTGCAGTAAAGAGAAAACTAAGGTAAAGGAGCAGGTGTCTGGTGCGTCCCAGAGGGATGCTTTGGGTCACCTTGGCTGGTTTTCTGGGAAGCTTTTGAAGTCTGAGAGCCAGCCAAGAGATACTACTCACGCCATCCTGATAAAAAGCTTTGGCTAGGGCTGAGTGGGTTGACACTCTGTAATGGCTGTTTTTGAACCGGGGCTGTTTCCAAGGAAAGAATAATATATTTATAAACTTTGAAATGTTTTAGGTAGCAACTTAATTGTTTGTGTATTAATATGGAAAAAAGAGGTTTCAGCTGGGAATCCCCAACATACACAACTAAAAAAGATACTGTTGCATCTTCTTCCTTGCTGGTGGAGACACAGTGTCTGAGGTGTGCAGGCTGATATCTCGTTGTTGGTATCTCTCAGAGTCTCTTCCCTTGCAGTCCCATCTGTCATCCTTGGTTAGGAGAAGCAGCCCCGTTAGAAGGCCTCATAGCACTATGTGATAAACAGTGCCACGCATCAGTCCCCATTCTACGCGCCTTTTATATATTAGTTTATTTAATACTTATGTAAGTGGGTGCCATTATTGTCCTCATTTGATCAGTGGAGAAATCTGACTCTTTGGTAGTCTGGGTTACAGCTACTGTGTTCTTTATTACTCTATCATGCCAAAAATGTTCTGGACAAGTTTTGCCTCAGATCATTAATATAATTTGAATTGTACCATGAAGTCCAGTCAGATACTTAATGAATTTCTACTCTCTGAGCTAAGTTTTGAAATTTTTGTGGACCATGAAATCGGCTGAAGAAGAGACATGCTCCAGTCCTGAAACTCTCTCTGTGCGGACAGTTAGGGCAGTGCTGTTGAGCTTACCATCCTGTCCTGTGAGGAGCGGCACGGCACTGCCTGGTGTCCTCCTGAAGGCTTGCACCATCAGCTGTGTAAGGGTACCTACCAGGTCTTACCCTTTAGTAAAATGTTAGTTTTTCTCTCTGCCACGATAAAGAAAAGTCGCTACTGCAGAGAGCTTGGGAGGGCAGAGGACAGTGTGCTGAGTGACCTTTGCTGCGCACCGTTCCTGCCATATCAGAGCTGCGGCCAAGGCAGTGCAGCCCGTGCATCTCTCGGACAGGACGGGGCTTCCGTGTCGCCTTCTCTAGCCCTAACCTTAGCACTGCAACTTCGCTTAATCAGAGGGTGGTCAGAGTTCGGTACTGAAGTTGGTGGTTTACAGCGTGTGGCTCCCAGACCCTTTCAAGGGTCCTAGAGGTCTGAACTCTTTGTGCAAACACTTCCCCTTCTCACTGGGGGGCCAGTAGCAGAGCAAAAGGAACCGGGGTCATCTTTTCCCTCCCTTCCCTCCCCCCTCCACGGTGTTCACCTTCCCATTTGAGAAAGATCTCCCTGGTTCCTATTTGTCTACCCTTTATCCTGTATTTATGGGAGGAGCTCAAAAGTTGGAGGGAGCCCGGAGGAATGGGAGGAAAAGGAGGAAAAAAAGAATGAAGATGTGTTAACGTGAATGTGCCAACTCCCCATGGTAAATGGAATTCTTGGGCGGGAGGCAGGTACCAGGGATCGAACTCACAACCTGGCGCTTGCAATGCAGGTGCTTATGCTGCCGAGCTAAATCTCTGGTGATAAATGTAACTATTTTGTACTTGTAAAAATGCATAATTAATAAAGATAAAGTCCTGCAAAGTTGAAAGAAAGAAATCATGGTAAAACTACTGAATCAATACAGTGGCGCCACACCCTATTCCACATCAGATTCTCCATTGTGGAGCACTCCTAGTAAACGCCAACAGCAGCAAAACCCAACAGAAAGCCAGTTCCACTTGCGTTCTTGAAGAAGCAGTAAAAACTATAAGTTTTGTTCAGTTTCAACCTTGCGGCATGTCCCTGAAATGCTCTTAGGGAAGTACGCATGATGAAACACCTCTGCCATATGCTCATGTGACGGCTGTCTGGCTGTCCTGCTGTCCGGCTGTCCGGCTGTCCGGAGGGATGTGGCTGTGACGTGTAGACTAGTTGTCCCCAGTGAAGGTGAAGGAGCCGATCTTTTTTTTTTTCCTGCAGAAGACTGAGTGACAGACAAACCATGCTTGGTCAGATTTGGTAGACATGTTCTCACAGTGTTTGACAGACATTTTCTTCAAAATGAATGACGTAAGAGTGTCATTGTGAGTAAAACAACTGACAGGATTTGTTACTACTGATAAAATTGGAGCACACAACTGAAAATTTAAATTCTGGAAAATTTGTTTCTGTCATCATGAATTCCACAGTTTCCCAATTCTTAAACATTTTTTTCTGATAAGATTGATGGTGCTAATTGACAAATGTAGTATTTTAATAATTGTAGTTAAATGTATCAACAACTAGAAGATCTAAGTTAATGAACCAATGTTTTCCAGTAATCAGTGCGTACCCTGATAAAATCATACATGGCAGGAGATCTATTTGAGGTATAAGGGAGCCTAATGAAATATAGAAGTTCAAAAAGTATCATTTTTTAAGCTCTTCTTGAATGTAACACTTTCTTATCTTTAATGACCTTTACAGTTTTGAGGAGTACTAATCAGTTTTCTGTAGACTGTCTTTTATTTTGAGTTTGTCTGATTTTT